GCTATAATAAAATACTATAAGAAATCTACTAATAAAATAAATATTAACCTATTAAATAGACGATTAAAACTAATAAAATAATCTATAAATTATGTAAAAATGTTAGGAAAATATAAAATATAATATAGAACTAAAAATAAATATATACTAATATAGAAAAAAAAATTTTATTACAATATTAAATGTTTAGTTCTAATATTTAGATTATAAAAAATAAAAGTAATGGTTTGAAAGTGTTTTAATATATACAATCTTGAATTTTTAATTCAGATTCATAATAAGATAAATTCAAAAAATTATATAGAAATTCTTGAAACTTGTTATATACTCTATTTAAATAATTTAATAAACATAATCAATCAAAAAAATTATATGTTTTAAGATGACAATGCTAAAATTCATACTTCAAATTTTTATAGAAATAATTTGACAAAAATCATATTGCACAACTTTTATGACCTTTATATAATCCTGACCTTAATCCTATTGAACATTTATGAGATGAATTAGAGTGTCATATATATAAGTATATTTCTCTACCAAGTGATAAGTCAGAACTCTTCAATTTGCTTCAAAAAGAGTAATTTAAAATCAATAGTTCAATTTTAAAAAACTTGTTAAAAATATGGATTGATGTATTCTCACTGTAATTGCTACTAATGGGTACTCTACATGGTATTAAATTATGTAAATAAAATTTATATATGTAATTGCTAAATAAAAAAATTATGATCCGAATTAATATGTAGTTTGTTAAGAATTCACAAATCAAAAACCTGCAAAAAAAAAAGATCGTCATATTGTTATTAAAAACATCTGGTGACTTACGTCAGAGGAGTGTACATATGATCCAACCAATCATATGAGCATATGTCTTACTCAAAATTATGTAATATTACGGTAATTTGACAACACTGGATTTAAAAACTTATCGAATTCGGCCGAATAATCATCAGTCAGTTGTCCCAGAATTTATGAGTAGCTGTAATAACTGGTCGTAAAAATTTTTTATATATGAAATTTAAAAAAAAGCTGGCCGGTCCATTTAAAATATGTTGTGAAAACCAAGATATTAAATTTGTATGGCTTAATATAATTTTTCAAATTAGCAAAATAAAGATAATCAAAATATTTAGATACATATACGGTACGTAGTAAAAATATTAATAATAATTTAAATTAATTATTTAGATTATGAATCATTGTTAAATTAATCAAATTTAATTTATAACAGCAATATTAAAAAAAAAAGTATTATAAAAAACCGCCTTTTGTAAAAAAAAAAATAAAAAATTTCCTCGAGCAACTTTGTTATATAACCTAACATAAATAAGATGTGATGCTGGGAAAGACATTAATCGTAAGCAAGCTTTCGAAGAAAGCATGAGTTATTACATAAAATGCATATGCTCGGATAAATTCGGTTACGATAACCGGTTCATAATGATGAGGGCGTAATTTACGTTATTAAACTACTACTCTCATTTTATATTAAAAACCGGCTTTATATTGTCGTAATCAGGTTACTACAATTTTTCTGTACCACTACAACAAAAAAAAAAATTTAAGCAATAAATAGTGTAATACAATATATTACTAGACTAAATAAATTCTCAAATAACCGTTGATTTGCAATGATTAACAGGTGGTCGGACATTTTTGACCAGTAAATGCACAAGTTACTCTCGATATAGTGAAGATTTGATTAATTAAACACTAGATATCGATATCAATATCGAAATCGTGGAACATTTGAGAATACTGATTGAAAAAAAAGCCTAAAAAGTAAAACCATAGCTAGAATTGCAATCTTTTAGGTTTACACTCACCCTGAAGACCTCCCTGAAAACCATCCTGAAAGTTATACTATTCTAGCGTTCAGAGTTATAGTTGAGTCAAACTAACCAAAAATTAAATTGGTTCAGGAGATACGAAATCCCTTAAGCATCAATTTAAGGTTGATTCCGAATGATTATAAAACCAATCCGAAACATCCTCTAAAAATAATTTATCGAGCAAGTTTTCCGAATGATTCAAAAAAAACCAATCCAAAAACATCTAAAAATAAATTTAATTTGAACATGTGAATAGTTAACTCATAATAAACAGAAAGTACATATAGATACATTACAAAGTTTAGGATAAATGCAGATGTGTTTATACTTTGTTTGTCTGCAGGCAACCTACTTTCTATGCTTTATCGTAACAAGCTTCAGATTACTTTTTATGATTCATATTGATAACTTTCTTGAGAAATTCCGATTTTTTAACATCAATTTTAGAGTCTTGACGTGATTAGTTTATTTTTTGAAATTTGAAATATTTAATATAAAAGAAGCGGGATATTTCTTTGTATTGGTTTCCTTAGGCAAGCAAGATCTGCATTCGGTTACCCATTGTTCTGAAACTGTGGAATCTACCGGCAGAATCTTGTGTAATTTGTGTAACTGAGAACATAAAGAATCTCAATAAACTATTAATCATTCATTCATTTTTGGTTCCGGTAGGTGCTTGTATAGTTTGTATAAACACGTGTAACTTCTACGTATAAAAAATTTATATTGCTTTTGAATTAATGTAAAAAAAACTACCTTTCCTTCAAAGGTTTGGATATTCTTTAAGACTAGATAAACTTATTTTCAACCTTTTTACTTGTATTTTTTCCTTCTCTTTCGTGTTTTTTGATTTTTTTTTTTACGTCAGAATCATCTAACGGCGTAATTTGCGCCATTTATTTATTATTGCATTACGTTTTCTTTTTTGGAAATCTTTTCTCGGTTAGAAGTTTCATATATCAACTTTTTTTTTTGTTGTGGCTTTAGTAACCCGGTTTAGTGTGCTTTTTTACGTGTTTCCTTCCGTCGGCTGACGTAAACAAAACTTAAGTTCCGATCGTCATTTCTAATTTACATTATTGTACGTAATATGTCGCTATATCATAAAAGTCCTAGCTCTATACAACAATTATTTGATTCAGACATTAACAAAGATGCAAAAAAACTTTCAAGATCAGATTCATATAGTTCTTTAACTGAAAACGAAAAAAACATTATAAAACGTCAAAGTTCGAGTGATAACATTATGGATGCACCTAATGTAGAAGATATGCCTCCTCCTTATGATGGAAAAACAAATCAACTGTCCTCAAATTTATCTTCTAAAGCAGATGATGCTACCATAATGACAACTACTACCACAACCACTATAACTACAATAACTACTACTAGAGTATCCACTAACAGCCCATTTATTGACATTTTTGATTTCGATGGTGGTGATAATAGTGTCAATGAAATTTCTCAAACATCCACTTCGGATGATAATCAACAGTCATTAAATAAAACTTTTCCTCCTCTTTCTCCGACAAAATTACATTCCTCCGATAATTTGTCTCCTTCTGCAAGTGCTTCCGGTTCTTTATTTGATGGTTTGGATCCTGTAAAGTTGAAAAGGCAACCAAAACGTACTGAATCTGCGCCTGATATCGCAGAGTTGTTTGTTGAAAGTAAAGATATGAGTAATAATCAAGCTACTCCTCATTCTGCTGCGAAATCTATGGTGAACTTAAGTACTTTGAATCAAAGGAATACATCTCTTATAAATAAGGCTTTTCCGGATACTCCTCAACAGTATCTTGATAAATTGCGTGATACTTTATCGAAATCTGAATTGGCAACCTTGCTTGCAAAAAGGTGTATATTTACTTTTTTGAAAGTGTTAATACGAATTGTGTCATTATAATTTAACTTTTTAATTTTTAATATACATAGCAAAGATGTCTTTCATGAAGCTGTGTTGCGAACGTATATGGAGACTTTTGATTTTCATAATGATCCTATTGATATTGCATTACGGTAGGCTTTATTTTTTTCCTCTCAATCTTCTCAATTCACCTCAATTCATTTCAATTATTTTCAATTTCGTTAAACTTACGAATTTAGGAAATTTTTATTGGATTGCTGTTTGCCAAAGGAAACGCAACAAATAGATCGTGTCATGGAAGCATTTGCTAAAAGGTATCATGAGTGTAATCCAGATGTGTTTGCCAATTCAGGTTTGTTAAAATCGTGTTAAAATTGTCTTTATTTAACGTATTTATTATTTATTTTAGTGAATATTGTTCTGATCATATGATACTATCTAAATTATAGATGTGGCATATGTCTTAGCTTTTGCAATGTTGATGTTACACACTGATGCATTTAATAAAAGTGTAAAGCGCAAAATGACAAAGGATGAATTTGTAAATAATACAAGGATTGACGGCGTGCCAAGAGAAATCCTTGAGGTAATAATTACTTCATCCTTATTGACTTGGTTGATTTACAATCCCATTAATTGTCAATCTCATTAATTTTAATTTCTTATGATCAATCATAGATTCTTTACGATAATATAACATTTGCTCGATTTATATATGCCGATGATGATACAGATGTCAATGGACAAACGATGCTTACATCTCCATTAGAAAATAGGCGATCTAGGATATTTAGTTCCTTAAAAGATCGCAGAAAATCTTCGTTTGTAAGAAATGACCCGTATTTTGTAATACAACATGTAAGATTATTCTGTTATTTATAAATTATTTCTTTTTAAACATCTCATCCTTTTTTTTAAAAAAAAATAACAACCTTTTTTTTTTTCTTGATTTTAGAAAGTTCCAACGGATTTTACTCCATTACTCAAGGATGTTGTTCCGGTCGAAAATATTTATTCGTATAAAGGAACCCTTCCGGAATTGGATACGGTTAGTATACACCGCGCTGTTGTCACTGCTCATACTGTTAGAGTTACAGGTGTTAGAACTAGAGGAAATGGTGAATCTTTCAGTCCAACGTCATCTTCAATACACCATTCGGATGATGATGATGACACTTTTCTTCTAAAAATTACAAAAGCCGGTAGATTGGGTCGTAAAACGGATATGGTAGAAGGTGGGAAAAAGACAGGGTTTGCGCGGAGTTGGAAACAATTCGGTGTTGTCCTGAGTGGAAGTCAATTGATGTTTTTCAAAGATGACGCATGGTTCAATAATAATATACCAAATTTAAATTATCCAATGGTAAATGTTATTAATTTATTATATTAATAATTTTTGTATATATTGTATATATGAATTTTATTAAATTAATTTTATGTTTTATATGAATTATAGAAATCTACCGTGATTCCAACGCTAAAACCTGATGTAATTATAATTACTGTTGATTCGGTCGCTGTGTATGATAAAAGTTACAAAAAATATCCAAATGTGTTCCGTCTTGTATGTCCTCAAGGCTGCCAATATCTTTTCCAGGCCGAAAGTGAATCAGAAATGAATGATTGGATTGTAAAGATAAATTATGCGGCTACTTTCAAGACCATTGGTTTAAAAATGAGGCACACTTGGAATGCTAGTTTGGAAAAAGATGAAGAAATGCGAAGAGAAAAGAAAAATATTCGAAAACCATACTATAACTTTCAACAAAGTAAAGAAGAAAATAGTTCAAATGATGTGCATCGTAGGGCCGATGTTCTTAGGGTATGTATATTTATGATTTACCCTGTTGTCACGAAATTAATGTTCAAGACTAGAAAATGCTGGGGAAATTAATCATTTCACCAATCAAATACTAATTTTGCCAATAGTGGTGTTCACCACTCTAGTTTAATTTTACCAGCATCTTTACTCACTCGAAATGTTACTTTGAGACATAAACTTTGAAGAGAATTAATAATTTAATTAAACCTTTTTAAAATTAATAAAATTAATAATTAATTTAGTTAAAATTTTTTTTAAACATTAATGTTCATTATAATTTTTATTTATTACAAGTGAAATTATATAATGAACATTGAAGTATAAAAGGTTTTTGATTAAATTAGGTATTATTTCTCTTAAAAAATTTATGTTTCGAAATAACGTTCCCGACTTTATTTCACGATAGTACTACATATTAATTTTTAACGTCTCTTGGTTATATGTCTCTTGATTTTGTTAATTTAGTCAAAAATTGAAGAACTTCAAGGAAAAATCGCGACACTCACATCTCAACTCCAAACTGACGTTCGATTTGGTAATAATCTTGCCCTAATGATACCATATAAAGCAACCACTCGAGATCGGATCATTCAAGTTGCTACTGTTGTAGGCAGGAGGATCAAAAATATTTGCCTTGAGCTTAGTCGATTAGTTTGTTATCATGAAATTATGGAAAAAGAATTATGTTCAACGATAATGGGTGATAATACTTATTGGCAAAAGAGAAAGAGTATGCATAGAAGTGATGAAAGCCGAGCTTATCGTAGGCATTCAAACATAGGGAATTATTCCTATAACATTACAGAAGGACATAATAGGGAAGTAGTTAGCAGACCTTTCACTATGAATGTACCATCAATATCATCACCTACACCGTCAGAGTCAGAATTATCTATTCAAAGTACTAATCCTTTAGCTACACCAACCACACCGTACACACCAACTTCGACTTTAGATAGTAGTTCTTTACGATTGCCCGAGTTTGAATTTGAAATTATCGGGTCACAGGATATAGATGGATTTGGTGATATGACTAAATCCAATTTTAGAGATGATACATCTAGCATTATAGATTATGTATGTGATGACTTTGTAGAACCAAATACAGTGAATATGGAAGATTATAACCAATTTGATATAGTTGAGAAGCCTAAAGATATGTTTAAACAAACAGATTCAAATATGCAAACTCCATCAGTAATTATAAATTATTTATCATCTGACCAAGATGATGATGAAGAATTTGTTGATGCCAAAGAGAATCTTAATGATTAGGATGAAATAATAAATTAACATCAGACTTTTTTTTAATAATAACTAATGATGTTTTTTTATGTTTGAAAAATTTGGTTGATTTTTTATTGATTCTTTAATTATAGATTTTTTTTAAATCTTCATTATATAGAAGTTATATAGAAAATATCATTGTAACTTTCAAGCCTTTTTGTATTATTTTTTTATTATAGTTACTTTCACATGTAAAATATTGTCACTTTTTTTCATATAAGTTTTGGTGGTATGCGTAAGGTTAGAGGATATGTTAAATAAATTTTATTGCTATATATTTCAAATCTATTTTAAATTATCATAAATGACTAATATCGACTACGTAGGAATCGGAAACTGATACGTAAGTCCGGAGCATAAAAATAAATTGTTATACATATTAGATTTTCTTTATTTTTTTATTTAATTCATCGTAATTGTCTTATTCGTTATTGATAATTCTTGCAAACCCTGATGAAAAATTAAAAAAGTTAATAAACCATTTTAAAATAGAAGCGCAAAATAAATAATAAATAAAATCCTTGATCTGTATGTGCACAAGCGGAAACAAAATGTCCGCTAATACCCAACGGATCAGGATATTTTATTACTAAAAAAGAAATTGAAAGTATATAAATAACATGATCATCATATTACACAACCGCGTAAATAGGGGTTGCTTAAAAGTAGGTTCACTCATATAAAATTAAGGTAGAAGGCAGTATTTTAAAATTATATATAAATCTAATAGTAAATTTTTTTTATATTTAATTTTATAAAAAATTATATTAAGTAACTAAGTTAATCATTAAGTAAAATTTATAGAGTAGGTCTTTCTGATTCTAATAATAGTAAAATTATTAAAATAGGTTAAAAACTCATTGAGGTATGAATTTTTAAAGATTAGAATATAAAATTATATAATAAAATTAACTTATAGATTTATGTAAATTGACTAATCAAATTCTTTATTTTTGTATTAGCTAAGAAAATTTTAACCAATCTAAGTAAACTTTATTATATATACAAGTATATTTTTTTAAAATAATATAATACTTCAAAATTTTATTATAATGGATAAATAATTTTATTTATAATATTATAAAATTTTTTTATTAATTAATTAAAAAATAAAAAAGTTTTATTAGTAGCATATATTAATTTTAGTTAAAAATTTTAATATACTATGCATAACTATATAAAAATGATCTATGTGTTTCCTATTTTTAAATTTTGTTTTATTTGTAAAAATGTTTAAAGTCTGATATCTTTTGGTTTTCTGATTTTAATTAATATTAAGGTTAGGATTAGATATAGGCTAGAAAGTAATATATATATAGTAAAATCATATTTCTGACATTTTTACTTAAAACATTCAAGATTAGTTTAAAGTTATTTTTTATATTTTCATATTTTTAGCTTTGTCAAGTTGTTAGGAATAATATAAAATATATATTAAGTAATTTCATAAAGTGTTAGGTTTTAGAAAAAAATTAGTGTTACTATAAATTTCAATCATATATAATGTATTTTGATCAATAAGAATTAAGAATTTTATAATAAATAAAATAATCAAATTACTATTTTTTTTTAAACTTTGATAACATTGCCAGTTAGTTTATTATCTTTAATTTTTATAATACAATTATAATTATAAGATCATTTAGTATTATATAGCTATTTTAAGCTATCCTAATTCTATTTTATTAACTTCACCTAGTTACTTATATGGCATCTAAGTCTGTATCTGCTACATGCTTGCATGCAGTTACCTTTAGCTACTATTTGTGATCAGAGTATATTATTAAATTGCTATACAAACAAGAATACCTTCACAACTTAATATAATATTCTAATATCAAAGATACTGTCTTTTGTAATCATATTCATATGTTTCATTTACATGTTTTACCTAGTTTTATTTCTTTTACTTTCTAATCTAATTATATCTAGTAATATTTTGATCTTTATATTTTTTATCATTTTGTTATTATATTACTCCTAAATTGGTTTTATTTGGATATATCTGATCCTTATAATCTTTTATCTTTGGTATGTCTGTTATTGTTTTTCTTAAGATTTTTTGATAATAGTTTAGAATCTACAATAAATCTATATCTCAAGTTAGACCTACTGCTGTCATTAGTCTTTTTAACTAATCTGTATCTCAAGTCAGATCTGCTGTTGCTATTCTTGCAGATACCTTGGATCTTAATATTATATAGTAACTTAATGCTATATATTACTTTCAATATAGTGCTTTCTTTTATAATAGAGACTGAAACTTATTACATTTACAATCAGAACAAATCTAATTATATCTAGAAAGTTTCTTTGATCTCAATAATATCATACTACTATATATTGCAAGCTTTTATCTTATTTAATAATACTTGTAAGACAATTTTAGTTATGTTCAGAGAGTTACACCAATCTTAGTAATGCTATTCTATACTATCTTGCAGATTTTATCTTACATTGAATGGTTTATTCTAGTCTTGTTTATTATAGACTTCTATATAGATACAACTAGAATCTAATTTGGTACTTTTACTTTATACAAAGAAGTTATATGCCAATCTCCAAGATTATTCTATTTATAGTCAGACTATTTGCTATATCAGAGTTGCTTCCAATTTGGTTAAACTAATTCTTTATTACAAGTTATCCTCATGTTTATTACTTCTCTCACTATTTCAATTATAGTTATTTTCAGATTACTTTCCTAATCAAATCCTTTTCTTGAATAATTTATTAATTATTCTTTCAAGCAAGTACCTTACAAGTTGAGTGCAGAGATATTGGTACTGCTTATATTAGAAAATATAAGAATATTAATGCTGTTTTAGCCTTAAGAACTTACATGTGCAATCTTTTCATAATCATAATCATTTGTAATATTGCTATTATATATAGTGTTTACATTTCATAATTGGATCTCTTTTTAGAAATTCTTTTATTCCAAATTTGTATCTGCATTTGGATTTTTTCTACAGGACTTTGTATTTAATTAATAATTTAAATAAATTACAGAAACAGATTTTGTTTGTAGAAAATTTAGAAGCTTATTACTAAGCTATGGAATCTAAATCTCTAAATTAACATTATTGTATTATAAATTATTAAAATTTATATAATTATTATATTTGAAGATTATTCTTTAATCTGTAAGCTTTTTCAAACAAATTTGTCTGAAAAATTATTAAAAATATGCTTATAATCTATATTTTTAAAATTTTTTTTGTTTTGTTTTAACTTTAGCAGTCATACTAGTACTTTATTGGGATTTTTAAAACTATACAAATTACATAGAATTTTTTTAATATATAAGTTTAATATTATTTAGCCACTTAGATAGTATCTAAGTACAACTTGTTGCATTATTCTAGTTAGAGATAGACTGCTTGTCTGACTACTGTCATACAATAGGAAATTATCAATCTGATGACATCTTTTTATAAAAAAGCAAAAAACAAAAAAAATTTTTTTATATAAAAAACAAATCAGAAATATAAGGGTAAATGATAAAAAATACAAATTAAGAAATAAAGATGAAAAGAAATAAATAAGAAAAAAGAAAATATATAAAATTTGTAATTTACAAATAACAGATAATTACAATTGTATATCTGTGTCAGGCTTTTAAAAATTATAAACTAGACTAAATAGAAATAATTCTACTATTTACTTAGATTATTTAACAAAAACTATATAAGAAAGAAAAAATCTTTGACTTAATTATAGAAGGTCAGTATAGAGTACTAATTAGTCTAGAGTTAGTATTTTTAGGTTTTTAGTATTTCAAGATATATATATAGTTATGTTTATATTACTGTATTGCTTCTGATCTATGTTATTAACAAATCTGTTTAGGAAATAAACACTGCTAACTGTTTTGGTAGTTTAATATATCAATCTTTAGAAGAAAATAAGCTAAATCATCAACTTTTACAAAATTTTTTTAAAGTAAAATAAAGGTAAGAAGTAATTCAACTTTATAGCTTTTGTGAGTTCTTGACCTTTATATGTGTTTCTTGTAGATTTTACAGTTGCATAAAACTAATATATTTAACTTTATTGTTTACTTGATAAAAAACTTTGGCTTTTATCAACTACTTTTTCTATAGTTCCAAAATGCATTTAAACCATCATCACAAAGCTGCAACTTCTTTTTCAACTCTATTTTAATGTTTAACTATGCATATACAGTACTCTAAAAAAGTTTTTATAAAGTTTAATATATTAACTATATCATTTTTCTATAGTTTAGCTTTTTGAAAAGTTTG